ACTTTATTGATGCTTCTTTAATGAAAAATCTACAACAAAAAAAAAAAGAAAAAGACAAAGAAGCAGCCAAACTAGCAATCCTCAACTTTTTAATTTTTACACCAGGAGCCATAGATCTGTTTCAGGAAATCACATCCCAAGCAATCGGCGGTTGTAGAATTAAGTTGTAAAAGGGTTCATACACCGCTAGTTGGCAGTGTTGTACAAATATTGTACATGAATTGTTACCAGCTAGTAAGTGTCAAATTGAACTTGCGCTTTAAAATTAGCTTCTGCTAGTTTTTCTATGGCATAAGTGCTTTTGAAGTTGCGGACCTAAATATTTTTATAAGCGCTTTAGAAATTGCGGAGCTAATTTTTGGATTAGCGCTGCCCACCACTGCAGAATGGTTATCTGTACCGTTTCTTTCTCAAGCATCCCTAGTTGCACATTTGTTACATACATTATATTAAACAGTCTATCCTGCWGCATTCTAGCACCAATATGACCTCAGATTATATCCCAGTGGCTCGTCCCACTTGCCACATTTTTCTGACTCATCTCTTTGACCTCCCTCCACTTCCTGCCTCCGAGCTCGATACGGCAGCACCCTCAATCACCCMTCAAATTGTCCCAGAAAGATGCCAAGAGATGGCCTCCTGCCTCTTTACCTGAGTCGGGAGCAGTTCCCGGCCTCCTGTGTGGAGGGTTTTTTTTTTCCTTTTCTATTGTAAGACACCTGACGTCCTGAAAAGTGTGACAGCTGCATCGCTCCCCGCTTCACTTCCACCCCAGTCTCAGGCTGTAATCACACAGCGTCATGCTCCAGGGCCCCGCGCTGCTGATTGGAGCCTATCTGACGTCTGGCAGGAAAAACTATCGGAGGGGATAAAATATTCACACACAGCCGTTAGAAGATCCAGGGGGAATGTCTGAAGGCATTAGCCAGAGCTCGCACATCTACACTGACAGTGTTTCCCAAACGTTGAGCTCCCTTGACAGATTTTTTTTCCCTTGCTTAACACCTCCCAAAGTGTCAGCATGAACAAAAACAGGGAGAAGCAGACATGCCCCAGAGTAGGGATCTATAGGGATTACCTTAGGACAGCTCTCAGAGGTTCAGAATTCCTCCCTATTGTAGTTCGTTTCACAACAAGACCTGCATGTATCTATTTCGCACCAATTTTTCTACAGGCCTCAGGGAGATCCAGCCCTACTCAACGGTAAAACCATTAAACTGCTCACACAGCACTTCGTTTCGAAATATATAAAAAAATAGGCTGAGCTATCTTAAAGTGGTTCCACAAAAAACGAGGGGGAGAAAAAAATCCTATCTTTCTCTAGTTCTCTCTCAAACTACCCCTTTCTGCGCCATCCATTTTTATACCCATGACAAGTAATCATCTCTCCCATCAATTCGGCCCCCTTTCATCCCTGGACTCTGAAGTCCTTCAGTGAGGGAGAAACTCATTGTAATCTCATCACAGTGTCTCCTGGAGAGCTTTCTACCTGAGCGTGTGGTCGAGAAATGAAAGGTGAAGATTGGAGCTGAATATGTGATGGCGGCGTCAGGCTCCCCGGGGGGCAGCTGAGAGGGGGGTTGGTGGTGCAGGGAAAGTACAAGCTGGGCAAACAGAGCCACTCTCATCAGAACACAGCTGAAGTGTGTGCGAAAAGACAGAAGAGGCTGAATTGACCGAGACTTTCCATCAGGGTAAAATTGAACCTATTCAGCGCTTCAGTGTGGCGTCCTGGAACACAAGAGCGAATCAACATTTTGGAAGCCTCTGTCAGATTGGAAGTTAATGTCGAGGTTCTTTCTGTTTCGTGCTTTTGGTTTAAAGGAGTGCAATGTTCTGGCTCGTTCTCCTGATGGGTCTGAAGCAGTCTGTTTGCTTGCCAATGTGTAGGAGGATCAATAGAGTGTGGATTAGAAAGGCATGCATATAAGTATTTTTCTGCCGAGAAAACCTAATTCCAGTTTTTTTATTTATTTCTTTTTTTATGGCACCCTTAGAATCAGAGATACTTCAAAATGGCGACAGATCAAACACACTGTGTTGCTCCGTTTTTCTWTAAAATTCCTCTTTCATATGTGCATCCTTTTTGTCCGCAGGTCTCATTCGACTGCAAGAGCTGATCAAGGCGCCGTCGCGGTACAACATCCGTTTGAAGATCCGACAGCTGCCCACAGAGACCAAGGACGCCAAGCCACTTTTGAAGGAGATGAAGAAGGCGAAGGAGTTTCACGTCATCTTTGATTGCGGACACGAGATGGCTGCCTGGATCCTGAAACAGGTGCGGGYGCCTTAATGAGCTGCCAAAGTTTCAGGCAATCATTGCAAAAGTCAAGCAATGAACTCTGTGCATACATCCAAGAAATCAAAACTAACAAAATACTGTTCAACCTAATACTGAGGGAAAAAATGAGCATTTGGCAGAGTTGTAAAGTAACTAAGTACAAATACTTTGTTACTGTACTAAARTAGAAATTTTGGTTATCTGTACTTTACTTGAGTAATTATTTTTAGAGTACTTTTTACTTTTACTCATTACATTTTTACACAATTATCTGTACTTTCACCCGCTTCGGATGTTATCATCCATGAAATGGACGTTAATAGGCTGTTATCAGTCCTATAGAATGGCTTCAGAATGTCCTGCCTGTGCCACTTAGCAGGTTCCGCCATCCCACAGAATGGCTTCCGATTGTCAGCTGGTTAGTATGAGGCATAAAACCACTATCTGGTTAACATGAGGCAATAAAAGCACTATCTGGTTAAAATGAGGCATAAAAAACTGAGGCATAAAAAACAGGTTAACATGAGGCAAAAAGCCACAAAGGTTAACCTTAGAGAAAATATCATGGTTAGCGCTAAAGACACCACCAAAGACACTGCTCTCCAACAGGTGTATAATGTGGCCTTCTAATACGGCAATGGGTAGAGTGTCGAACCACAGAGCAGGAGACCAGGGTTTGAGTCTGAAACGGAAAGYAAGAGCAAGGAACATCACCAGGCAAGGATAAAAAAAGTTATTAAAATATGTTTTGCTTATATGGTTCTTAACACATTCATTGTCACTGATATATTAACCCACTAGGGGGCACTGTTGGGACAGTCTGAAGACTGGAAGGCMCAGTAGGGACATTCTGAAGCCATTGCATGGGACTGATAACGCCTAATAACGTCCATTTCATGGAGTGATAACATCAGAATTCACTGGTACTTTCTATTCCTTACATTTTTCAAAACGTTAAGAAGTAGAAAGTTGTTACTCCAGTTTTATTCCGTGTTGTTATTATTATTATTAAAAAATACTATCCTGATAAATTGTGTCTCCTAGATAGTGAATTTAATTGTGGTTGGATGAGAAGTATAAATATATACCATTCTTCTGACACCGTATTATGTTGTATGCAGTCCATCCCAGCTGCACACCATTAGAAAAAAATATTTTTGGAGAGTTAAATGTCATTCCGGAAAATCTTAACTGCTCATTTTTACTCAATACATTTACTTTTAATACTTAATTAGATTTTATGTCAGAAATCTACTTTTAATACTTAAGTACAAAATAAATCAGATACTTTAAGTATTTTACTCAAGTAATATTCTTAGAGGAGACTTTAACTTTTACCAAAGTAACTTTATGATAAGGTACTTGTACTTTTACTCAAGTATCACTTTGAGGTACTTTATACAACACTGGCATTTGGTAATAAAATGAACAATTTGTAACATATTATTCCCTGGATTTGAATAGGACTTAAGATTTACATACTTTTTCTCTTGTAGACTCAGCGCTGACTGCACAGGCTCATCGTTCATTCATTATGTATAAGTGCTAAAACAATAAGCTCATGTACTCTCGCTTTATTACTCTCTCTTAAGCACTGATTCAAATCATTAGGATACCTTCCTCCTGCTCTGTGTGGCTGTAATCTCATTGTGGAATATTAGATCTCATCTACTGACCTATTGCAGAAGATGCTCTCAGTTGCACAATAAAGTTTTTTAATTAGAAAGTGTAACTCTGCTCACAGACATGTTGAGTTCATCGAACCGAAGCACGCCATTTATGACATTTGCGGGGGATTTTATTGAATGGAAGAATATTATTGCACTGTTGGAAATAAGTACGCGCACAAACCTGCGAGACAGTGAAGAATGACCGCTGTTCAGGAAAACAAAACAAAAAATAACCTTCTTTTGTGACATTTTAAGCATCATCTACAACAAAGACATATAAAAATACTTTGTGTTGCAGAACATTTTGTTTATGCCACTGTGAGAAGATTGCAGTGCTTTTGTTTTTGTGGCCGTTGGCTGCTTTCTGGGCTTTTTTTTTTTCTTTTTAATAAAGCGTTTGCTAAAAACAACAAAGATTTTGGAAGGTATTTAGTGTGTTTTGAAAAAGTGCAATGAGTTGTGAAATGGACACATTTATATCAGCGTGAACAACACATTTAGTGTGAAACATATCAGCTTTAAAATGCTTTTTTAAAGTACATCTTTTTCACACAAAATGTGAAAACACAAAAAAAAAACTGTAGGGGGAAAGTGTCATTTAAGTGTTTAGAAAAGTTAATTTTTTGTTGTTTTTTCTTTTCTTTTCTTTTGGTTATATGTAGATTTTTATTTATATATTATAATAAACTATAATTCTTAGATAAATAAGAGGTTGTCAGTTGTTCAAAGTGAAACTCAGGTTCCACCTCTGTATTTTCTGCTTAAAGGAGACATGGTGCTGTTAAATTCTTCTTTTTCCCATTTAAATCCTTCAGTAGTGGTCTATATAAAGTGGAACTGCAACTTATTATTATTGCAACTCAACAAGCCCCTCTTTCACCCCTGTTCTGAGATGATTCTGAGAGCAACTCGTTTTGATGCTGTCTTTTTAGATGCAAAGGAGGTGCCTTACATGTTGGAGCCAGAGTCTGACCCAGAGGAGAACAAAAGAACCACAAATTCACTAAATTAGTTAAGAGGAAGTCCACAACCCGCAGCAAATAATGTGTCGTTATTCCTTAAAATACATTATAAGGAAAAGAGAAAASTGAACAGACTGTAAAATATGACCCTAACAGAATATAAAGAGATCTACGCAGCCACTGAAGAGACTAAATTCAACTTTTCTGCACTCCTGGAGACTCCAAGTACACAACAAGATGTATTTAATGGTTAAAAAAGTGGATTTTGCAGAATGTGTCCATTTTAAAGGAACTGATTTGATTGATTTGATTTATTTATTTAACAGGAAAAGATTACTAAAAATCAAGCCTGACTCAGCATAATTGCTGTTTTACAGCAGGTTCCTGTTCTGCAGCACTTAAAACACTCAGAAATACAGCATCACAATCACATCATTATACACCATAGACACAAAGACAAACAAGCATACCAAATTTCAGGAAGGCAGCATTTGCAAAATAGGGCGTCTAAATATGAGCGCAACAAAATGTGTCCAGCAGATGGCAGACAAGATTCTTCTTAAAGGGCTKTAGTTTTGAAATGGACTTTATGTTTTGAGGAATGTCATTCCATGCTTTAGTATAAACATAGAAGAAAGACCTCTGGCCGTAACAGTTTTTAAAAGTTGATAACATCAGTTGTCCTTTTGTAACAGATCTAGTTGAATGACCACTTCCAGAATTTGATTTGGGCAACAATGCAGAGAGAGTTCCATAATTGGCGCCTTGGAAGATCTGAAACTGTCCAGTCAGCTTTGAACAGGGGCGGTTCTAAGGGCGGGGCCACAGGGGCATTGGCCCCAGCTGAAATGTTATTGGCCTCCTGAAGTTCCCCTGTCCTGCCACTCATCTGTCCTTTGCACGAGTAATGATGACGTGCGCAATTCCATGTCTAAACACTAGAGGCAGTAATGAGTCAAATAGAAAAGTCCGGCATGAATCAGTCTTACAGACATCGTCTTCTCTTAAGATTTGCACAATCCTGCAGGAAAAGTATTTCCACGAACAAACAATGGCTGGATTTTCTTACATGCTGTGTATTTGAGAGTATTTGATCTATTTACAGTAAAAATGTATGTAAAACTTGTAAGGAGAATATACATGAATGATTTTTTTTAAATTACATTACAAGTGTTTGAACATGTGTGACTGATTAAATGTATACATCTTACTAAAATCAGAGATTTGTGTACAAAGATGATAAAAAATACTTGGCCCCTCTGTGAGTATTGTGGCACTTTGATGGCCCTTATTCAGAAAAATCCTAAATCTACCACTGGCTTTGAAGTGATGTTCTGTTATGACTTTGCAGGTTCATAAAATCAACTCTTTTTTTGTTGTTTCTAAAGCTTTACATTTTTTGCATGACACAATTTGTCAATGCTCTGATCAAATGCAATTCTTTTGCAAAGTAACACAAATGTTCGGTTATGAAAACGGCGGCAAACTAAACAAATGCCCAGTTTTAAAGACTTTAAAAATCTTTTTGGAAAAACTGGCACATTACTGTCTGGAAAAACACTTTTGTTTCTTTCTCTACACTCCATCCTCCTGATAATGTAATTATTTATGGCCATTAGACAAACCGTCACTTTAAAGTTGACTGGACTTTCCCTTTAAATATGTCTTTTTTCTGAGTCTTGATGACTAATGTCACTACTATAGAAGTGAAATAACATCTGAATGCATCATTCTAATTGATGACATTATATTCTCATTTAAATGTATTTAAGTATACTTAACGCCTGATGTTCTTCTCTCCCTCTAGGCACTGGCAATGGGTATGATGACTGAGTACTACCACTACATTTTCACCACCCTGGTGAGTACATCAGCACTTTTTTGAACTGTTGTTGACTAAATGCAATGATAGGCCATATTTTTTCCTCATAGTTCTGCACTTTTCTGTTACTTGAAAATGTTTGTTTTCAACATTTTCTTTTAGTTGGACTGCAAACATTGACTTGATTTGTTTGCTGCAATACAGTCATCAGTCTGTCCACTATGGCAGCAGTTTTCTGTTTTGAGACTAAACTGAGCAAACTTTTACTTTTCAGAAAGTTTTTATTTAAAGAAGGAAAAGTTTTTTTTTTCTCTTGTGGGTGTGAACCGTTTTTTGAAGCTCCTCCACAAACTGATGAAAAAGCTGAGTCACTCTCACTCGATACACATTTTGCATGTTAAACTCAGCTGTGAAAAGTTTAAATCGAATGGATTCTCCCTAATCCGGCACCCACTTTTCACCCCACCTGGCTGACCACTACCCTGACTGCAGGAGACAAAGGCAGGTGAAAGTATTTTCCTCAGACTCTGGCTGCCATTTGAAGTTCTCCCCCCGTAAAAAAATAAAAAAAAATAAAAAAAAAAAAATAAAGGGTTCTTTGATCTAGCCACTACAAAGATTGCCCCTGCCATGCTCCAGATGAAAAGCAGCACATCCTGCCTGAGCCCAGAGAACAGAAGACTGAGAGCTCTGATAATAACCCTGAGCAGGAGATRCTGTCACCCATTTGTTCCATTATAGACGTAACAAATGAAAAACACTGTGCTGCTTGGAGCACAACTGGAAAGTTTGAAAAAATACACAAAAAAAACACAGGTATGCATCCACATATGAACCGGTGATGAAAGGAGGAGGGTGACAGCAGGTATGTCATTGCAAAAGAAGAGGACAGTGATTCGGTGGCGTTGCTGCTGCCCGTGATGGAAACGAGCCTACTTTAACAACGGCCAGTGTTTGGCAGGTCCACTCTGCTGGCTTTGGCCACTGTATCCTCTGGTACCAAGCCATCCCCGCTGCTTTCGGAAGAGCAAATATTGACCGTGGCACCCCGTTTTGTGTGCATCACCTGCTGCTGTTGCTCTTTCAACTGCGTGGCTGCGTCCCAGAGACATCTGCCCGCTTAGATTCCAGACATGCCGTATATACAGGACAATCAGGTTGTCCTTTTACTTCCACATGATAGATGGCAGAGCACCAAAAGCCTGCCTGTAACCTTGAAAGCATTGCCTTAATCAAGGCTACTGCCTCAGCATGAGAAAAACAATCTCTGAAATACCTTCAAATGTACCTCTCTGCTCGGTTATTGTACCACTGCTAACTTCTCTTGATTGCTAAGAGGTGTATAAAAAAGTATAAAAGATGAGGAAAAAAAGCTAATTTCTTCAATGTATAATGATGTTCAAGCTCTGTGTACTTTTTGGTCATTCGCTGTTCGTTATTTCTTTTTTAAATCCCAAAAATGGGAAGACAGTCTGTCTTAAAAGCAGTGCATCATTTGTTTGACACAAAAACATGATGTTACACAGATTTACACAAACCGTTCCGCTGTTGAATCTTTGCTTCTAGGACCTTTTTGCCCTCGACATGGAACCGTACCGCTACAGTGGAGTCAACATGACGGGGTTTCGCATACTCAACACCGAAAACTCTCAGGTGTCATCAATCATTGAGAAGTGGTCGATGGAGCGGCTACAAGCCCCGCCCAAACCGGACTCGGGCCTGCTGGATGGATTCATGACAGTAGGCTGAAACCTTTTGTTATAAAAAAAAATTAAATGCAAGAATATGTTTATGGTTATACTCAGTGGTGGGCAGCACTAATCCAAAARTTAGCTCCGCAATTTCTAAAGAGTTTATGAAAACATTTAGGTCCGCATTTTCAAAAGCACTTATGCCATAGAAAAACTAGCAGAAGCTAATTTTAAACCGCAAGTTCATTTTGACACTTACTGGCAACAATTCATGTACAATATATGCACAACACTGCCAACTAGCGGTGTATGAACTCTTTTACAGCTTAATTTTACAACCGCCGATTGCTGGGGATGTGATTTCCTGAAACAGACCTTTAGCTCCTTGTGTAAAAATTAAAAAGTTGTTGAGGATTGCTAGTTCGGCTGCTTCTTTGTCTTTTTCTTTTGTTTGTTGTAGATTTTTCATTAAAGAAGCATCAATAAAGTAATTTTAAAACTGTTTATTGGAAAACTGAAGCGATGCATTCTGGGTACATGACAGATTTGATTTGTGATGGGGAACAAAGGCAAGGAGTACAGGAAACTATCTTCACTTCAAAATAAGAGCGTGGATTTAAAGTTTTCCTTGTAATTTCTCCAGTTGACCACTAGATGTCAGTCTTCATCAGCATAAAACCTTTAAATCATTTCTGAGTCTCTAACCCCGTTGCTTTGACCAATTATGTCAAGTATTGAGCTCCAGTGTTTAAACTTTTTTTTTTTCAAAAGAGGAGCTCTGATTGTAAAGTAAAATAAATTAATACATAATTTTTTTTGTATGGATTACAAACGTTAACTGTTTTTGCTATTGACTTCCTGCTACGTAAGCAGACACAAAGCATTGTGGGAAATCAGAACCATGACCCAAAGCAAATGTCAGCAGGATGTCTACCTTCTCAATCAATGTGTTTATCTGGGAGGGGTGCTGTTGGACAGATCACGTGCGTTGTGATTCATTGACAACCATACCTTCTGCTATTCAAGATAATGATGACTGTAGATAATTAGTTATTAGCAGTACTGCATTATAATTTGAGAAAGTGCACATCCGCTTATGAATTATAAAAATTAGTAAGACCGCTAAAGCGCAAACAAAATATTTAGGTCCGCAATTAGTAAATTTGAGCTTTAGCGGGATGGTGCTCACCACTGATTATAGTTGCCCAAGTGACCAAACCACTTGGAATTTTACGATGCAGGCGTCGGTGCTTTGGAGCCGCTGTCTTTATGGGAATATAGATCAGTTTTGATGCAACAGACAAATATTTTTGAAAAATGCAATGTTTCTTTCAAAAAGGACATGTGTAGGTGTGAGATGTCAATCATAAGCGCCATGTTGCAGGGTTCCTGGGGTGAATATAGGAGTAGCATAAATGCCCTCTGCGTGGAGCTTTGGAGTTGGTGCTCCTGGGTCTAAATGCTCAGTAATGAGCCGGTATGAATGGTAATAGCCATTTATCTGCCCTCCTGCCTCTCACATCCACTACTGGGAGCATGGCCAAAATATGACAATCTGTCAGTGTTCATGCAGAGGGAGGGAGCAAATTGGATGGAGATTATGGCCTTGGTTTTTTTAGGACAGCGTCCAGAAAAGCCAGGAATAAGGTGATTTGAAAGTGAAAAAGGGAAGAGAGCTCATCATGGACGTTCAAGGTCCCTCTCTGGGTCTGTTGTTGTAAACAGTCAATTTACTCCGCCTCCCTCGCAGCACCATCCTCTGAGACAAACACCTTTTTTGTTTCGCCCCCTTTCCTTTTAGCCATTCTGGGGTTTTTTTTGTCTTTTCTTGGCAGATTCAGGGTGTAGTGTGAGATATCTGTGTAATGTAAGAAACGTCGTCTCATAAAGGCTTACAGATGAGCCTTTGAAATCAACGCAGCACATGATGAGTATTCATAAATCAATCACAGCTTTGGGATTTTTTTTTTTTACTTCGGATCAAAAATGAACACTTACTATCAGTCAAGGAAATGAATGTCTATCGCTCACCGCCAAAGGCAGTAATGTTTTTGCTTGTGCCTGTCTGTGCGAGTGTCTAAAGGGATCCCTGATTATTTGTAGCATTAGACTTTATTTAATAAACATGTATTTTAACTGTAAAACAAAGACTGTAAAAATACTGTAGGATGTTCAGTTTTTATCATTTTTTAACTAAAAGTTTAAAAATATATTACACGGACAGGGCCATTTTATTTACGCGCAAAGCATTCTGGGTAAATGATGACGTGGATAGGTCCTCGGTGCGAGGCTGCTAGCGAGCTATATCCACCCTGAAGGTTAATCTTGGACAATATCTGATGATCGACTCTATTAAATGAAACCAGAGAGCGTTGACAGAGAGGAGAAGGTAGAAATGATTCAGCCTGTAACTGAAAATATGGATGGAGGACAACAGAGCTGCTTCATGGAAGAACAACCTCAGCTTAGCCTGTTAGCTTTAGCATTAGCCCTGACGCTATCACCATATATCTGTACTAGCTCAGCGCTACACATTCTCCTCTCATCACTGAGGTCCTCCATCCACATAACAGAGAGGGGAACACAAAAATGACTCAGCCTGTACCTGAAAATATGGATGGAGGACCTCAGTTTAGCTTGTATGTCGCGCTAGCACCGAGCTAATACTTGTAAGGCAATATAGTGTCGGCGCTAGCACAAAGGCTAACAAGCTAAGCTGAGGTTCTTCTTCCATGAAGCAGCTCTGTTGTCCTCCATCCATATTTTCAGTTCCAGGCTGAGTCATTTCTACCTTCTCCTCTCTGTCAACGCTCTCTGGTTTCATTTAAAAGAGTCGATCATCAAATATTGTCCAAGATTAACCTTCAGGGTGGATAGCTCGCTAGCAGCCTCACACTGAGGACTGATTCACATCATCATTTACCCAAAATGCTTTGCGTGTAAATAAAATGACTCCGTCAGTGTTGAAATATATTTTTAAAAATTTACAAAACTAAACAGCCTACAGTATTTTTACAGTCTTTAAACAACAGTTAAAATAAATGTTTATCAAATAAAGTCTAATGTTACAACTAATCAGGGATTCCCTTTAAGGTGGGTGGGTGGAGGGGGGTTATTTGTCTGTAGATTAAAAAATAAAATCTCATAAACCATCTCAATCAAGATGGCCACCACAGCTAAGCAACCTTAGCACTACACGCTGCGCGATAACATCGTCTGTAGCCCAATCAGTGAGAGCGGTAACGCCTCCACCGTGATCGAGTCCTTTCTGGACGATCAGAAGACGTTTCTTTACATCAGGGGAGCAGAACTATTTCTTCTGTGTTTTTTTGAAGGAAAATTTTATATAAGTACTTCTATTCTGGATAAAAGCCTGGTGCTGAGTCATGAAAAGGATTAATTAATTTTGTGTCCATATAAACGAAACACTTGGAATGTAAATGCAGCTTGTGTCAGAAAACTGCAACACCCACTGTTGTAAATATAAATATATAGAATTTCCCACAAACATGTGCAGCATGTGCCTCGGAAATTTTGTGTAAAACGAACACAATGCAAAAAACAAAATAAAAATATGTTACTTGATTTTTTTTCCCCCTGCGCAGCAAACTGATGGATATTAGTGGTTGAATTTCAAACTGATTTATGAGCACTGCATGAATCATTTTGTCAGATCTTACACCACATATCGACAGATCTCACTGGTCTAGAAATACGGCTCGATAATAAATAATGGGCTCAAACACGCGCGTGATGAAGTGCTTCGTTAGAGTGGTCTATTTATAAGTGCAGGGGTCTTGGTGTCGTTGTTTTTCTGAAAGCTTTCCTGCCGAAGACGATTCTGTCAGACGACTGAATAAAGTCACAGAACAGTTCTGCAGGAGATGAAACAAATCCACCAATCTATTAGACACAAACTTTGGCTTTTTCTGTAACAAAGATGTCTTCAATTAGCATGCAGATTGTGTGATATTTATGCTGCAGTCCTTCATCCGAAGAATACAGGTTTTATGGAGTCATTAAATTAAATGGAGGGTGGACTGCAGCAGGCAGTGTGTGACCCAACACCCCCTGACCCTCCCTCCTTCCAGCCTTTTATAGCATCTCTTGGAAGCCGTTCTCTCAGTCTGTGCAGTACAGACGCCTCGCTGGGCTCTGAGCTTGTTTGCACTCAGTGACCAGGCAACAGTTGTGCAGCAATGGTTACCAGGACAACACTGTACATGTCACCTCGTGATTTCACGAGGGATTGATTGACTGAGGTGGGATGAGGCGAGGGGGAGTGAGGTGACGGGGATTGGAGGCAAACGAGCTTCGATGACACAGAGGAGGAGGAAGGGGGCAGAGGACGTTATAACTGTTGGCGTTTTCTCACATCGTGAGGCGAGCACCAACGTGGAGCCGTGTAAAACTCACAGTGACACTCGGCGCCGTGGGTGAGGGCGAGTTTCGTCTCGAGCGCAGATGGATCGGGAGAAGTCCGTCGTCGGACGAGGCGAGCTCGCAGCCACAAACGCTCCTTCAGATTTTCCCTGAACTCTGTTCGTGAGAAATATCCCAGACAAGGAGGAAGGCGCGCTGTGAAAATTAATTAGTCCGGTTTATTTTTATATACAGTATTTGCTGTTTATCTTGGGGTAGTGGCTGTGTTTCAAAGTGAAAGCACAGTAATTAGAGACTCGGCTCCTTGATCACAGACAGAACGCAGACACAGCATTAGAGACAGACCGACTAATCGCAGGATGGTTTTAAATCGGCCCATATTGGCCACTTTTTAAAAGTTGTCCATCAGTCATGTCTGTGCATAATCTGCATATTTAATCCARTCAACATCCAACCACAGCTGCTACAATCAGCTTACTGTAGCCCAGACTTTAGTTTTTTAGAGAATTGGAAAAGTTTGGAGTATTAAAGGTGTAGTGCGGCATTTTAACACCAAACAGTGTCAGTTATTTTGGTATCGGCCAAAGTCAGAATCGACAGATATGGGTCAGACAATCAGTGCACCCCTTATTAACTTTGTTTCATGTTTGGCTTTGACTAAACACG